CTGTATTTCCTCGGATATGACTCTAATCCTGCTCGATCAATGGTGTTAGTTCAATGACCACTTCAAGCTGACATTTTAACATTTCATCGAATTAATGACCATGTATCGAGATTTCGAAATAACGTACAACATAAATCGTAAATGAATAATATATACCTCAGGATTGTCGTCAGCTCTGTCCCCATGAATAGTTGTTGAATGTGTCAACGTCATCAACAACCTCCAAATAAAGGACGTCGATCGACGTCTTCTTATGATGACACCTCAATATGCTCTCCAGTATAAACACCATTCCCAACTTCAACTTATCAGACATATCGTCGCATTTCCTGAATGCGTCTCCTAACTGTGTCAGAGTTACCGTCGTAAGCAGGATCGACATAACATATCTGCGTGCTCCTCATCCAACAAATCTAGAACTAATGCGAAGTTGGCAAAGTTACGATTCAACATAGCTTTGTCGGGAACCTTCTCATGGCAGCTTCCAAATGGTAATCCATCCTATAAAATTTAAAATGTTAAGACCTTGTGTAAGAGACAATGGATAAAGCATAATATTAGAAAATTAAATTGTTTATTTACTTATTTAAATTGTTTATTGAATATTGATTGTTAATCATTTATTCAAATTGTTTATTTACTTATTTAAATTATTTATATTTATTGTTCATTTAAATTATTTATTCAATATTTAAATGTGTATTTAAATTATTTATTTTTATTATTTAGTTGTTTATTTAATATTTATTTTAATCGTTAATTGAATGTTTAATTGTTTATTTTAAATGTTAATTATTTATTTCAATTGTTTATTTAATATTTAATTACTTGTTATTATTATTTATATTTATGGTTCATTTAAATTATTTATTTAATACTTAAATGTCAATTGTTTATTTAAATTGTTTGTTTAATATTTAATTACTTATTTTTTATTTTTTATATTTATTGTTCATTTAAATTATTTATTTAATATTTAAATGCTAATTATTTATTTCAATTGTTTATTTAATATTTAATTACTTGTTATTATTATTTATATTTATGGTTCATTTAAATTATTTATTTAATATTTAAATGCTAATTATTTATTTCAATTGTTTGTTTGAATTGTTTATTTAATATTTATTTACTTATTTAAACTATTTTTTATTATTTATATTTATTTTTTATTTATGTTAATTAATTATTTTTATTGCTTAATTAATATTTAATTTACTTGTTTGTTGAATTTATTTCAATTAGTTATTTGTTATTTACTTAAATAAACAATATACATAAATAATTAACATAATTCATGAAATATTTATATAAACAAATAAAGTATAAAATAAATAATTATATATTAAACAAATAATATACATAAACAATTAAAGTAATTACTTAAAAATTTAAATAAACAATTAAATTAAATATTGATTTATTAAATTACTTATTTAAATGTTTCATTAATTATTTTAGTTGGTTATGTATATTTTTTGTTTAATATTTAATTAGTTATTTTAATCACTTATTTTGATTTTTTATTTCATATTTATTTACTTTATTTAATTATTTATATTAATTTCTTATTTATTTTAATGTTTATTGAATATTCCATTGTTAATTATATTTATTTAAATTGTTTCTTTCATTGTTTAAATAATTTATATTTTAAATAAAATGAAATAAAAAATAATTAATTATTTTACTTAAATAAATAATTTACATAATTCATAAAATATTTATAAACAATTAAATTCAATATTAA